GAGGAGTGGGGGTTGGGCGGTCTAGAACCTGTGGGGTTTGGGGATGGGTTTGGGTGAGCTAGAACCCAACATGGGGAGCACCCAAGGGTGGGCTGGGGGGTCATGGATGGGTTGGGTGAGCCAGAACCCAATGGGGGGTACAGAAACCTTGGGTGGGGGTTCCAGTTGGGTTGGGTGACCCAGAACCCATTGGAGAGCACCCAAGGGTGGGCTAAGTGGTCATGGATGGGTTGGGTGACCCAGAACCCATTGGGGGAGGCACCCAAGGGTGGGGTGGGGGTCATGGATGGGTTGGGTGACCCAGAACCCATTGGGGAGCACCCAAGGGTGGGTTGGGGGTCATGGATGGCTTGGATGACCTAAAACCCATTGTGAGAGCACCCAAGGGTGGGCTAAATGGTCATGGATGGCTTGGGTGGACCTAGAAGCCAACATGGGGGGCACCCAAACCTTGGGTGGGGTCCCAGTTGGGTTGGGTGACCCAGAACCCATTGGGGGAGGCACCCAAGGGTGGGCTGGGGGTCATGGATGGGTGGGGTGACCCAGAACCCATTGGGGGAGGCACCCAAGGGTGGGCTGGGGTCATGGATGGCTTGGGTGACCTAGAACCCATTGGGGGAGCACCCAAGGGTGGGCTGGGGTCATGGATGGGTTGGGTGACCTAGAACCCATTGGGGGAGGCACCCAAGGGTGGGCTGGGGTCATTGATGGGTTGGGTGACCCAGAACCCATTGGGGGAGCACCCAAGGGTGGGTTGGGGGGTCATGGATGGGTTGGGTGACCCAGAACCCCCCATGACCCCATTTTGGGGGGTTGACAGTGGGTTGCAATGGCGTTGGGTGACCTAGAACCTCCAGTTTTGGGGGTTCCAGACCCCCCAACGCCGCCATTTCCCCCAGGCTGGCTGCGCGACGTCACCGGCGACTTCACCGTGTCCTTCCTGGCGGCCGGCGCCTTCCTCCTGGCCTCGAGCCTCCTCATCCTCACCCTGCCCCGAGCCCCCCCCGAGC